GATTTCAACTTGTTTCATTGTGAATTGGCTTGAATCTTGGTAGAATTGAAGGTTGATAGCAACATTGACCCATAATCCAAGACCTAAGGTAGATCATTGACCTTTTTTATTGTGTATTTGAACTTATTCTTGCATAATTCTTGAGTCTTTAGTGATTTAAGGCATGAATTGGTTCATTAATGTTGAATTGGAACTCATTCCATCCATCCATGTTTGAATTGTTGAATTTGAGTTGATTCCATGGAGAATTGTCTCATGCATGCTCATGGCTATGTTAAGACCATGTTTTCACCTTGTCTTTGAAAGAATTGGCTCATTAGAGCATGAAATTGAAGCTTTGAAGTGATTTTAATCCATGCATGTTTGCATGTTCTCCATATTCATGAAATTGGTTTGAATTGGATTTAGTTGAAACACCCTTGGGCTTTGATTTTACAATTGAGCTTTAGAATCATGTTAAAGTATGAGTTTTGATGTGTTTTCTGGAAAATTGGCCCAAGCTCGAGCTCGAGCAGGGTGACTGGCGCTCGAGCGTGGAAATCGTGCTCCCAGTATTTTGTTCTGTTTTGAAGTCCGCTCGAGCGGAATAATTGACACTCGAGCGGGACATTGTGTCTCATGCTCGAGCGGGTGTTGAGTGCCCAATCGAGCTTGATTTTCGCCTATCCAGCACTTTTGACTGTTTTGCAGAACGCTCGAGCGGAAACCTTTGTCTGCATGTCCACTCGAGCGGATTAACATACGCTCGAGCATGACCCCTGTTTTCTGAAACTTCCGAAAATACTTTTAAAGTGCATCTTTGCATCCTCATCTCATCCTAGGCATTATTAGGCCTAGTTTAAGGCATCCTAATGAGGATATAGATGTAGAACACACCGAGGCAATTAGGGATTAAGTTATTATCCTTCTCAACTGTGTAGTTTAGTGTGTGTTCAATCTGTAACTGTGTAAGGTTGGCGACTGGGGACGCGCTCTAGCTTACTGTAGCCCAGAACTCTGTGAGTAACAACTGTGTAAAGATATGTTTAAAATGATTATCTTCTGAACAACTGAACTGTACTTCTTTCTGAACTGATTACTGTTAACTGAATGAATGTATGTCCTATATTCTGAACTATATTGTGGCATCCTTAGCACGTACTGTTTACTGATACTGTTACAGAGATCTCTATCGGTTCCCTCGTTGGAACCACTACTGTTACTGACTGATGGCCATCATTTACTGCTCGGTCTTTTAAGACCTACTGTTTACTGTACTGTTATGTTATGCTAATAGATGTACCACATATGACTGTATCGACTGAACGACTGAAATACTGATTTAATGAACTGTTTTCATTACTGTAACGACATTCATTCTTAACCCCTTTACGCATTGTGTTATTCATTAGGCTTTAGCTCACTGCTCATATATATATGTAGGTGTGCAGGCACCAGACCGCAGCTAGAAGCGTCGGGGTAAACTCCAGTTTTGTCAAGCCAACCGTTGTGCCTCACTGCGAGGTTCCGAGCCTGTCAAGCTACGGCTTACAGGTGTTTTTAAATTCCCCGTCTGTCTCTGTATCTGTCCTGTTCGACTGTATAGACTGTTACTGTACTGTTTGATAGGGATTTGGTCCCTAAACTGAATGATTGTATATATGTACATACTGTTTTGTCTGACTGTATATATTTGAATAAAAAGTCTTTTTGGCATACAGACTGTCACAGCTCATTGGACATTGTTTATTTACTGTATTGGCTTCCGCCAGCCCCTGTACTCTGTATTACTGTATTACTATTATGTAGGCCTTCGGTAATCTCGGATTACTGGCCGGTTACGGTGTTAAACCCATAGGGGCGGGTTTGGGTCGTGACATTGTTTCTCATCCACTTTTCTTGGTGTTGAATTTCGGTCGTTCCGGAAGGTGTGTGGATGAAACTAGGGTGTCGGCAGTGATGTAGGAGTTGTGAGCTGCTAGGCCAGGGCCGCACGTGCGGGGCCTTAGGCCGCACGTGCGGAAGTGGGCCGCTCGAGCGGTGGGTGGGGTCGCTCAAGCGGAAAGGCTTGGTACCTAGAATTTTGGCTACTGTCTAGAGCGGACGAGTAGAGAAATTGGGCTGCATGAGCCATCAAGGTGGGCCGCTCGAGCGGTGGGGAAGGCTGCACGAGCGGCAGTCGGGCAGTCCAAACCTCTGTTTTTAAATACCCATTTTGGGCGAAGTGTATCTCGTTTGGGGCTTATTTTTCTCACTCAAAAACCTAATTTCTCTCATTCTTCTCTCTAGAAATCATCTCCAAAACATTAGAAACTCCTTGATTCTTGTAATCCCTTAGGTTTAGATCACCATCCCTGTCCTCTAATCTTGAAGATCAAAGCTAGGGCTTCTTTGGTGTAGGAGAAAGTGAAGGAATCCTCCCTCTTGAAGCTAGGGTTTCATCTCTATTTCATCATCAACGTTTGAGGTAGGGTCTCCTTTGAATTATATGTGTGTTTATGCAAGTTTTTGTTGATTTTTGAGAACCCCTCTATGTATTTTGAAAATGGAGTCTGGGGCTCAAGAAATTGTTGATTTTGCTTAAAGTAAAAAAAAAACTCATCTCATTTTCTTTTAAAGAATTTTTGAGGAGTGTGGAACCTTGTAGATTGAGATTGATATGTATGGAGAGAGTTCATAAAGAAGATGAAAAATGTTTAGATTTTGTGTGAAGACCTAGCAATTGGGGCTTTTGTGAAAACATGGAAATCCATGGAGTGAACATTTTTTCTTGTGTATATATGGGTGTGTAAGTGTAGAGTTTACATTTTGGTAAGAAAAATGATAATTTTCTTGATATATATGAAAATGAGGGATTTACTTTTAAGTTGTTGCTAGTAGCATGAACAACAAAATGTGTTCTTGTAAGATGATAGTTGTTAAACACCATTGACCTTGAGAATTGGAAACTTGGAAGTTGATATTGAAAGTCTCACCTAATCTTAGAATGACTAGAATGTTGTGAAATATGTATAATGATGAGCTCGTGCTATGTGTTAATTAGCACTGGTAGAGCATGTGATTAATTGTGTGATGGTATTGGAGGAAGGTAAATGAAGAAATGCTATGAAATGTTATTGTTGTATCATATCTTCATGTAAATTTTATCATTACTATACATCATGGCATGGGTTTTGGAAAACATTTACATTGGGAAAGGTTATATTGTAATGAGAATTATGAGAATGTTAAAGGGGTAAATACGTGATAAGTCCGGATAGGGGGTGTAGTTGTATTTGATAAGTTGGCCTGTGTGTCCTTGGTGAAAGACTAGAAAACCACGCGGATAGGTGTCGAGCTTTCCGGTTAGCACCGGTAAAAATGACAGTTTGGTAGTGCTTGTTGAGCTTACTTGCAGACACCAGCTTAGGGATTACCAGTGATGTATTTACTGCCCCCTTATGATTTAAAATTGGAAGTGTGGGAATAAATGAGGTTGCATAAATGTTAACTAAAAGCATGGTGATTTTCAAGAAAAGCATAATATGAGTTTTCCTTCAAATGGCATGGCATAACATATGCATTTACATAAAATATTGTGAATCTTGAATGTGCATACTTTGTTAAGGATTCTCTATTGGGCTATGTGCTCATCCCTATGGGTTTTGGTGCAGGTAAAGATGTGGTGATCCCGTCGAATTGAGGGCGTGGAAGTATTCTGAGAAGAGTAGCATACTCTTATTTTGTTGTGATTAATTGTAAAGCCGAGAACTATTTTGGTTTGGGTCTGAAAGACCACTTTTGTGTAACCAGGCTTATGACTTGGAAGATGTAAGCCCTTAAGGGCATTGCATTGTTTTGAGAATAGATGCTTTACATGCTATAGATTCATAATGTTTTGTATCGATGAATGTATACCCGCATGTAAAACCTTTGTAAAGACTCATTATTAATTATGTAAAGATGGACATGTTGTTGTTATTATCAAGTAGATGTTGATTACTTGTGGGTAGTTCATGTCGAATTATTTCGGGACGTTACAAAAAAACTCTGTCATTAGTGTGATAATATATGATTTTAATTGAGTCAGATCACTTATAAAGGGGGGGGAAATGTCTCACATAAAAGCCGTTACACATTTGTGTTTAATAATTATTTTTAGAATCATGTTAATGATAGCCTTATGATTTAAAGAAAATTAAAATTTCAATACAATTTTTAAAGATCTCAAGATCATTGACAGCTTAAAGAGTTGCCATTAATATTCTTTTTATAATTTTTAATATAATGTTGTTGTTACAGAATTTGAATGCAAAATCTTCTATGAAGGTTAAATAAATAAAAATTAAAAAAAAGAAGAAGAAGAAGGAAAATGGCTAAAAGCCAACTACATCATAGCATTAACTTCAACACAAATCATAGCATTAACTTCAACACAAATCAAAAGATAAAAAATTGAGAAACTTCCTCAATCCTCAGAATAATGTAGTAGTAATAATTTTACAATTAACAACCATCTTGATGAGTTATTTGTTTTGAAGTGATTTGTTAATAATATGGTCACATCATTTTTAACATTTTTTCTAGAATATATTTTTCTGTTGGTGTAGCGTTACTCTATTCATATAAAAATAAAAATAAAAATTATTCCACAGTGCCGTCAACAACACAATGGCACTGGAATCTTTGTTTCTCCTAATTATGGTCCACTCCTAGGTTTTTGTTTTTATAAATGTCCTTACTACACTTTATTACCCTCTTATCTTTCTTCGTTTACGTATTATTGTCATCTTTCAATTTTGTGTACCCTATCATCATCATCATCAAGTGAAAAACACCAATAACCATCAAAGCCATCATAACCCTCATAATGGCATAGTACTTAATGAAAGTCATGAGTTCAACTCTTTTTAGAAGATAAGCACTTGATGTTTTGCGAAGGATGAGAAGGCTAACTCCCAAATGTGTTAATCTAACAACTAATAATTGACCTTTGCCAATAAAAAAATAAAATAAATAATAATAATGATAATAAACACCAATTAAGTTTTATTAAGACTTGGCACAAATAAATAAAAACTATTCCTGGAAACAGTTAATAATGGTTGAAACTGTGTCTTAACTGAAGTAGAACAATTCAAACAAGAATTTCAAACAGTGGAGAGCAAATTTAAAGATACAAAAGTACTGTGCTTCGACTACTTTTTGAGATCATACATCTACTATGCTTGAGAGTCTGGGCCTGCTGGTTTCGAGTTGAGAAGCGGCTGGAGAGCCTTGACGACAATTGTCATATTTGGCCGGAAGTCTGCTTCATATTGAACACAAAGTGCTGCAACTGCTGCCATCTGAATACAATGGCATGAAGCCCACAAATGCAAAATGCCGAGTTAGTAGAATTTCAATCTATGTTTTACTTGTTATTTATTTGTTTTGTAGACGGGTTGAGGGAGATGGGATGATAGCAGTTTACGACTAGTTTGAGAGCGAGTGGATCATGTGTAAAAGAAAGTACTACAATGAACAATAAACAAACAAAAGCCGCAATTTGAGATTTTCAGAAATGAAGAAGTAATTTTCAATCATTGCCGTTAAAATTGCGGACTCTACATTTTAAAATTTCTTTCTATCCTATTTCTTTAAAATTGCTTTCATACACAACGTAAATTCCAAAAATAAACAATCATGTTAAGGGAAAGTGATGCTAAAAGTAAAGATGATTAAGAAAACCTTGGCAATTGCTTTCGGTGGGTAATCATTGTTTAGCTTGGGATCAACACATTGCTTCACTTTATCCTCACTCAGTCTTGGAGTTGCCTGTGGAATATAGGAATTTGAATTAGAGATGTAAAACAGCAGTGGCAAATGAAACTGAAACAACATAGCAGCAAAACAACACACACCCAAGTGACAAGACTTTGCTGTCCTTTGGGCATTGTATGGTCTACTGGCTTCCTCCCTGTTAAAAGCTCTAGAAGAACAACTCCGAAACTGTAAACATCACTTTTCTGAGTTATCTGCCCTGTCATGGCATACCTGAAGCAAAAGCACGATCTGTTAGTGCAGCTACATATGCAATTCCATTCAGAAACTCCTAGACAACTGACAGAAGCCGTTAAGTCACCAATTGTCTCAAAAGCTTAAGCTAAATAGACATAAATAGAGAGAAGAATAATGCAAATGGGAAATGAATGTAAACAGAAAATGAGAAGAAAGATATATACGTCAAAATGGAATTGTGAAGAGAGAAGAAAAAGGAAGGGAAAAGATAAGAAAAGAAAATGAAGTAGAAGCTATTTTTTTTTTCTTTCTATTTTTTGGTTGTGTTAGGAAAATGAGAAGAAAATGAAGATATATGTCCCCAAAACGAACAAAAAAAAAAATTATTACCATTAAAAAATGAATATGTATAAGTAATTCTATTTCCCTTTCCCTTTCCCTTTCCTTTTTCCTCAATGAATATTGGATCGAAACACAGCCTAAGGGTTGAAAATTTAGGGAACATTAATAATTTGACTTGCTTTTCATTGTTTTGGCGAATATTTTCTTCTGGGAGGTCTACCCGTCCCCATAAAATTAAGTCATTTTGTTCTGTTTCTATCTAGCATTTGGACACATGAGTTATATATATTGTCTTGGGAGGAGAAATAACAGCAACATTAGGCTCGTTATAGTGCCACAAAGACACCAATGGACTGAGTGATATCTTATATGAATTTCAGTGGACTCAATGCAATTACAAAGAGGCTTTAAAACACTCATCTGCAAAACTCAATGGAAAGCATTCACTATTTGCATCCATGGTGAAGATATGCAGATGCAAACCTATAGTTGCTGATATCTGAAGCCAATCTCACATTGTAACAAGTCCCAGAGACTAATTTCAGTGAAAACAGTATGATTGTGATAAATTCTTTCACAAGTCAGGCTGGAATTGGATAATTTACATAACTTCAGATAATTTAGATAACGTCACAATACCAGAAAACATGAGAAGTATAAGAATTAGCGTCTTTCAACAATCTTAATCATTGATGAGTTACAGAACTGAACATGCATGTTTGGATGATTCAATGGCGGTTGAGAAAGGCTTACTCTGGAGCATGATAGCCAAATGTCCCCAAAACTCTTGTGGAATGCAGTCGAGCAGCAGTGTCAGAAGACTGATTTGTCAAGTTGAAATCAGCTATTTTGGACAAAAAATCATCGAACAGTAGGACATTGCTTGATCTGATGTCACGATGAACAATAGGAGGCTGGACCTTTTCGTGTAGATACTCGAGGCCTTTTGCTGCACCATAAGCAATTTTAACTCTCTGGCTCCAACTAAGAACCGGACCTGGTTCAGCCCCTTGTACACCTTTCCTTCCTACACCAGCAAATAGCTAACGATGAATTGGTCAAAAGAAAAAACAAAAAGAAAGAAAAGGAAGTCATACCCCATGATAACTAGGTATACATACCATGTAATACATCATGTAAAGAACCCTTTGTTGCAAATTGATACACCAAGATCCGATTATTTGCCTCCAAACAATACCCCATCAACTCCACAAAATGCTCATGCTGAAGTCTTGACACTATCGATAACTGCACAATCCACAATGTAATGATACAAATTAAATAAAAAGACTAGTGGGACAACATTGCCTTTCTTGATGATAATGCTCGGAAAATTAACCTGAGCAGCAAAATCATCATCTGGGTCGGGTGAAGAACTGGTATCCAGCTTTTTTATTGCTGCCTGCTGGCCAGTGCTTAATGTTGCAAAAAAGACCCGGCCATATGAACCTTCCCCAATCAAAGCTTTTTGTCCAAAGTTGCCAGTCAACTTGTTTAACTCATCCAATGGAAAAGCTGGTATCTCAATGGGTAAAACTTTCTGAGGAGCTCCACTTCTTACAGCAGCAGAACTCTTTGGCTCTCCTCTTCCGCTACCTAAGATACAAAGATCATAGAATTGCATCATGAACAAACTTGGAAGTAACTTATACCCAATTTTAAGAGTAAGGTCTACGAATGAATATGAATATAAGAAACAGCTTGTAAAATATATGTTCATTTATTATATCATTGAACATAAAACCTTAGGAAGGCTGAGAATAGTGGCAACCAGCTATATAATAAGAGCCTCCCGAAATAGTTTGAGCATGTTTGATGCAATCAACAGAAACATGGGGGATAAAAATAAATCAAATTGAAGATAAAAGATCAAAATAAACGCAAAAGGAAAAAAATTATCATTAAGTCAAGGAATGAAGAAAGATTAAGATTAATGCTTTGGCCTAACATGGTGATGAATAAATCTGTGATTTCAAGAGAAACTCAAAAGGGGATAATCTACTATAATTTCTTACTTATCCCACAGTTTACAATTAGAACATCATGAAAACGGAGAAATGTATAGAAAGATGCTACTAAGAACATGAAAATATTAGTGCATTTGACTATAGAAAAGGAACAGAGGTTTTTACCACCACCATAAGGATTCCCCCCTCTAGGTGGGGCCGTGTATTGATTCACGGGCGGTCCGTCATTTTCCTCTTCCCCTCCGCCGCAGCACAACATAGTTCAATTATCAGGCACAGTAGTCTCAAGCACTAGATTTAATAAGCCATATACGCAACAAAATGCTCTTGAATGAATTTATCCAAGCAAATCCCTGACAATTCCAACAATGTACAATACCATATTATGAGTCAGAAAATTTGGGGTGAAAAAGCAAACTGAATAGATGAATAGAGAGCAAATAGGGAAAAAAATTGAAACCCTCAAAAGATTTGGGTTTGGAATGATTGTTTATATATAGAGAGAGATCCTCAACCATTAAATTGAATCACAAATTAACACATTTGCTTATAATTTCTCTTTGCATGGACAATGTTGTGATCAAACATTCATACCTATTACAGATTCATAAAGAGGAAAGAAATTTGATCATCAAATTTGTTTATATGAAATTCAACATGTTAATTTGATCCCCCTATATCGACAAATTTGCTGAATTTTTTTTTGATGAAATCTCATATATATTAGCATCAAATCAATAACAAAAAACCAACCCATCAATCATCTAGATAACAAAACAAGAAAGGATTGAAGAACTTACATATAACAAAAATCTGCAAATCCAAATTGACCCAACAAAAGAAATCAGAGGCTGAATCTGTGAGAGAGAGATAGAGAGAGATAAGAGAGAAACCAGCTTAGGTATGAGAGAGAATTACATATATGGGTTTTTTTTTTTTTGTTCTGTTGTTTCTTTATCTCTCTCTCTCCCTCTCTCTCTCTCTATCTATGTCTATATCTCAGTTTTGAGGCAAAACGCAAACGATTCTTTTAATTTCGCGGGAAAGTCGCTTGGTAGTGTTTTAACCGCTAACCAACTAAAGCCTACGTGCGCGCCTTCATGTTGCACGTCCTGCATTGTTCATTTTTATTTTGATGATCGGACGGCTCATATTTCATCTCACAATTATTACAAAAATCCATCATTGATTGGAACTTGATTTGCATACACCCAATTTGATCTGTACAATTTGTTGATGTTTAATGAACAATATAATGTTTGATTTCTTTTTGATCTTTGATATTTTAATTATGTTAATTAAGTTTTCAATTTATTCAAACTGTGTTCAAATGATTCTAAAACCGTTTTTCTTTATGGTAGTAGAGGTATTTTTGTTCTAATTTGAATAGAAATAATATCGGAACTATTTAAACACAAATTGGATAAATTGGGATCAAATTGACTCAATTAAAATTATATTGAGGATCAAAATAAAATAAATGGTATAATTTGGTAATTGAGAGTATATTTTACAAGAAGAAAAATCCAGAGAGGCAAAATAATCATAGTGATTAAACCAGTAATTAATAATCAAAACATAGACCACTTGCATTTCATGATATAGACATTTTCACACCAACCCAATTCACTAACAATTTTCAGTTCCCTGCATTAAGCTTTCAATTGGGATCTGACTGCAGAACCACAAGCCCAATCAATGAAAATGCTAAATACTATGTACTAGAAAAGTGTTCACAATTTGAAATATGTAAATCAAATTCATTATGAGAGTATAGCACTAAATTCAAATTTTGAACACTTTTCTACGTAATTTTTCATTCTCCATTTGTCAAAATGCAGAACCCTAAAAGGGTCACATAATTTTGCATACACCAATCTTCCAGTTTCTCACTCGTCTTTCCATATCCGGCCGGTGATCCTCAACTTCAGCTCCTGATGATCCCCACCAGAGAAGAAAAGAGCAAGGTTCCTCGGAATGATGAGTCCATCCTGACTGTCACGAACTGTCTTGTGACTGTCACGGATGCTTCTTGGAACTCCTTGCCAGATTAGCTTCCGATCATATGCCCCAACTTCCAAAGTGTAGCTAAATTTCTTGGCCTCGCAATCCTCACCCATGAATCGTAGGAAAGCCATGTAGACTGGCGACATACCAAGCCGGAATGCCTCAAAGTGCAGGCAAAACTGTCTTCCAAAACAATTGAACACCTGCACGGTAAAAAGACAAACGTATATAACTAGTGAATTCCTCTCCAAGAGTATCTTTTATATTTAATTTTTTTTTTTTTGAAAAAACCTATAAAAATTGCGACTTAAATAAAACTTTTTCATTTTTTTTAAAAATTTATTTTAAAATTGTCTAGTTTAGACGGACCTAAAAAGTAACATATTCTAACTCAAAAGTTGAAAAAAGTTCACTAAAGACAAAAATAAGTCTAAAATTAACACAACTTATAAACTGCAGCCAAAAGAATTAACATCTCATAAATGATGCTTAAAACGACTCAAGGAACTGAACCTTCCACTTTTGGTAAGTGATTTTATTGGCTTCCGCTACTCCAATAAAATAACCAAAAGCAATAGGATATATGTAAATCATTTTGGGGATTTACAAAATAATGCTTTTATCACAATTAAAACATACAACAAATAAAAAATGTTCATTTAAATTTGCAAGAAAATAACATAAATAACAGCTTTAAAGAATCATAGCATTGATCACTTACAGTTAGCATCCATGTCGCATTTTCCACTTCATGTGGATTTGATTTAACATATCGATGATTGAAGGTGCACCCATCGTGCATGTCAACCTTATGATCGTCCTTGAGATGCGCGACAAGGGTCAAGATGTTGCCAGTGATGGAGCACTCAGATCCAGCATAAGGACAAGTGTAAGGCCGGAATCGGCAGTTTTGCTCATGCTTGAGCTTGCTGTAGTATGGAAAAATGTCATGACAGCCAAGACGCTGGTATCTGCAGGGGAGTTCCAATGATTCTGCTACTTTCTCCAAAGCCAAACACCTTATATTTCCAAGCTCAAGGCGGCAAGTTGGGCAACAGTTACGCACTCTCATTTTGCAGTTTGTGCATAGAGTGTGGCCATTTGGACACTTCAAAACAGAACAATGAAGAACAATACCAAGTTTAAAACTTATAGGACTGATAAATAAATAGACAGAAGAAAACAAAAATTGCTCTTCAGAACATTTAAAGGTGGCCAACCAATAATGAAAGGGGAAAAAAGGACAGAGAAACAAGAACTTCTATTCAGGCGTTAAATTGTTGACGCACACAAACCTCTTTTACGAAGGAGTCATTTACGATCAAGGATCAAATAAACAAGAGAAGCTGATATAATGCAAAAGCAAGTTTCCTTAACTGTGGTTGTTCTATTTAAGAACAAAGGCACATTCTTTGGTCATCGCCATGTTAAAAATAAATAAATTCAAGCCACAACGGTATTCTAACAAGTAATAATATTACCCATAACAAAACTTAATTCTTTAACAAAATCAAAAAATTCTCCTCAATATGCTATTCTACACATTAGGAAACATCCAAGGCAATTTTCCAATCAACGGATGCTCAAGCCTATTCGAGGCCCAAGGAGAAAAATCTAATTGGGTCCTTCATAATCTTTTACATTGTGTTTTTTTTTTATTTTTTTGAAGCTATAATTTTTATTAAAATTTCGATGTGTATGATGAAAGAGAAAAGTACATGTTACTTTTTCTCTATTTGATGAGAGAGAGTAAGATAGGGAGTAATATAATAGGGATTTTCTTTTGATATGACAGACAGACTATGATAAATTTTTACTTAATGAGAGAAGCCCATTTTTTTAGAGCATGACATAGATAGAGAAATAGAGTTATAACATATTTGTCCTTTGATATGAGAGAGAGAGAGAGAGAGAGAGAGAGTAATGATAAAGGTAAAAAGAGATTTTTTTATTTTTTTAAATCTTGAGACCCTTTTAGCATCCAATGGGAGTTGAGAAAGATTGTTTTGCTCTTTTATATTTGACCAAGAGAATATGACAATTGACTTCTTCTATTTTGATAATCTAAGTTTTGACTACTTCTATTTACAGTGAGAATTTTTACTACCATTTTCGTGAATTGTTTTGAGTGATGTTCGGCTGAAGTGTTGGCGGCAGCGAGCGTGGCTGTTGGCGCCAGCTTGTTTGATGTGGCTTATTTGGTTGGAGCGGAATAGAAGGACCTATTTGGAGGTTCATCATGGTGTGTCTTGGTTAGAGAATCGTCTTCTTGTAGTTATGTATAGTTGGTTGAAGAGGAAGGTTGATCTAGACATATTTGTTTTTTTAGATTTTCTAGATGATGTGATAGATTGGCTAATGTCTGTTTTGTTCTCCCCTATTTGGGGTTGTCATTTTGTATTCTTTGCATCATCTTGATACTTTCTAATAATTTTTACTTATTTATCAAAAAGAATATGGATATACATTATATAGAGAGGATATAACAAGTGGTTCCCTTCTCTACTTAGAGCTCTAGGCATGCACTTAAGTTGCCTACCCCTTGAGCCACCACTAACCAGTTCTAACTTTTGCAAGAGCACATCAAACTCCAAAAGAATAAATTACAGCTAATGTCAAAAAGACAGACTATAGATGATATGATTTCTTCAGTTCAGTCCTTGGTGCACCTCCTTTAGACATAAATTTACCCAAGGAGCTACTTTTGACTTCTGATGGATATCCACAAGGAAAAGGTCAAAAAGACTACAAATGGATTTATTCATGAGAAATTTGAAAAGGGCAGTAGCCTGTATGGCTAAAAAGCGAACCCTATCTCAATCTTGAGAAGTATTTCAATAAGGATTTGTTAACGATTGCCCTTAGGGCACATGTTAAAGATGCTTAAAAGGAGTGTACTTCCACATAAAAGTGTGTGTATAAAATGTATAATCTTCTTTTACTTGCTTAACAAAACCCTTTAAATAATGGTGTTTCACTCCGTCAACATGTAAACAAATGGCTTGAACTCCTCATAAAGTTTAATTCACTAAAAAAATGTCTCGGATCAATGGGAGCACATTTTAACAAAGGACCCATACCTAGAAACATTTACGTATGCAAACAAATGTTACAAGCGAGGGGAGGGAGGGGACGGGTGATGGTTAGTAGTAGTATTAATTAACTTGGAGAATTTGTTAAGGATTGTTGGTTTCCATTTTTCAAACTTTAAAAATTGCAGCAGATTTGAGCTTGTGGGTGTGTAAGCTAGCTCTCAAGCCACTAGGGCATGGAGTTGCCAAAATATGAAATGATACATGAGTCTCCAATGACGTATCAGAGATTTGATGAAAAAAAGAAACTACGTGGAAAAAAATAGAAATGATATTGATATCAGCAAATGGTGTGATCCATGGATCACAAATTACGATTACCATAATAATTTGACCGTTAATCTCAAGATGAATAGAAATAAGATCCAAACCTTTTTCAACCTAGATTACAATTAGCTTCAGTCATTTCTGCATCTCATTTCAACGTGATTGACTTTAATTTGAAATACTTTGACACAAAAGATAAAGAATAGCTATGCTCAGTTGGAAAACTGAAAATAATCGCGCAGTCTATTTAGGGGCCATTTTCCACTATAAAGGATACATTAAATTTTAAGATGGAGTAGCTGAATGGAAATACTTTGCTGCTGGTAAGTTACAACAATGACTGATCAAAATATGTATACACAATAATGACAATTATAGATAGTCAATACCAATAATGATGACAAATATTTTGATTTTTTTATGACAGATATTTTAATGAAGCCATGGTTGCCATCTTTCTTCACCCCATTTATAAAATCTCATTCACTATTATTCATGGAAAAATCGCTTTGATGCTAGAAAACAAGAAAAAATAATGAAGTAGTTTCATATCCAATGCAAAACTGAAATTCAGTTCAATTAGAATACAAGACGACGGAAAGAACTCAAAACGTAAACAAACCTGGTGAATAGGAGGATACATTAAACTCGTGCAGATAGGGCACTCGAGTAACTCATGCACACCATTAGATGAAGACATTCCATGCTTATCACCAGACCCGATGATAGTTTTTACTGGAGTACTATTTTTCTCCGCTTTTGGCATTGCTATGTCATAGCATGCAAACTTTGTATGAGATTCAAACACCTCTCTGCAGGCACTGCCTCCAGGAGCCATGGCAATCCAACAATATTAATAAGATGGAGCTCAATAATTAAATTTCAACTCCATAATCCAAGCTTCATTTGTTTTCACTGAAAAACAAAATACAAATTATAGGTGAAAGGATATCATTTATAATTCAGAAAAGTACAATTCTGACCAAAGGTCCAGTGAAAAGAAGACAAAAACACCATCAACCTGAGGCCAGTAGGTGAGGGTGTTTGTTGGACCTCTAAATTAACAAGACTAAAGTAGATTCTCTCACCAACTATTTATGAAACATCAAAAGTAAATAACAAACATTTCCTCTTGCATAATAAGGTCATGTTATCCTTATATAATTTGCCTTTGTCCGTGGTTACCAGCCTTTAATTTGCATGTGGTTCAAAAAAAAAAAATTCGATATCTTGAGAAGAACCAAAAAAAAGAGAAAAATATCCTTTTTTTAACTCATCAAAATAAAGGAAATATGATTTTGAGAAACATTTCTAAGTAAATGATTGAGTCCAGAAACTCATCATACCATTAAATAAGATTCCAGGGGAAAAAATCATATCCAGAAAATTTCCTAATGAATCAACACTAGACTTGGAGAGCCCCCCCACCCAATCCTGAGCCCCACACACTCACAATATATATAGGAATCAAAATTCCAAACTAAAAACAAAAACAGTTGCTTTCAAGCAAACTGGAAACCATAAGAAGAAGAAGAAAAGGGACAAGACATAAAGTGGGCATAAATCATGTACCATCCCAATTATTGACATTAGTGAAGGACTACACAAAGAAAATGCTATTACTAAACAAAGAATGATTTACTCAAAGAACAATATTACGAAAACAACACTACCAACAAAATAATAGTGGATCAACCATTGTTTTCAGGTCTAATATCTCTGTCATACAACTCATACCTCAACCAAATATTCTTCATTTTGATGCATATTTAACAAAAATAGGGACATCCCAGATTAAAATTGTAATGAGTTTTGCCATAAACATTGACATCTTAATCAACCATCACATAACTCAAAATCTAAGATGAGAACAGAAAAACAAACAAACCCCATCTAAACCATGCAACACAAACACCATTAGCAATCAAATTCTAGCAAAATAAATGAATAAATTCATAACAAACCCGGTGGCAAAGATAGTGAATTATAGCAAATCCAGTTAAATATTCCAGTCATGCCTATACTTGCGATAAAAATTAAACAACTTTAGCAAAAAATTACCTTTCCCACTTAAAAGTCACTGCCAAAGAAAGGAATGAGAATCAAAGGCAAGAACAGCAGTTACTTTATTCAACTAGTTTTCCATTTCAATCAAATCCCAAATTAGATTTTGCCCGCAAAATCCCCTTTCAAATTTATATAAAAAATCCGAAACAGTTTCAAATTTTCAACCAAGTTCAGAACTGGGTTCTTCCAAGAGCTACTTTTCCCATTTATATCAAAATCCAAGACAAACACAGTGAAATAAAACAAACCCATTTCATATATATATATATATATATATATCCAGCAAATTTATACCCTACCAATCAAAAAGCAAAAAAGAAAAACCCAGAACATAGAACAAAAGGCAAGCCAAAAACAGAGATACCCAGTTGAGAATTTCGAGCACATTGTCTTCATCGACGATCAATTTGAACAATAGATTCTGGGTATTGCTCAAATCAAGAAAAAAAACATATGGATTTGAGAAGTAAAAGGGAAAAAAACAAGGCTGTACCCACGAGCTCTGGAACTTGACGCGAATTACCCGGATATAGAAATTGACGAAGAAGAAGAGCCATGTTTGTCTCTTTCAGTGATGATGACCATGCGCGAGACTTTTGTCTGTGTCTCTATATGGTTTCTGCCAAATCTGCAATTAGTTTCCTATACAATTTTTTTTCCCTCTCTGATACGAATTGGGATCCTCCCCTTAGGCCCCTCCTTTATTCCCTCCTTGTAGGGGCCTTCGGGTCCATTTTGAGGCTCAGTTTTGATAATTCGAACCGTTCATATTTTTAGATTTATTCAGTATATCATACCTGTAAAAAATCAAGTTGATCGAATATCATAAAGTATGTGTTCGGAAAATGTTTTTTTTTTTTTTTATTTTTTTAATGCATTAGTGCTATTAGTGGTGATGTTTTTAGTGGGATGAATCATTGTTGACCAAAAAAATAGCATATAATATGCATCGAATTTTTTAGCCTGCGTTTGGTTGTATTTTATAAATGTGATTTGAGAGTATGAGTTATATTTTGAGTTTGTGTGTTGTAGAATTATGATTTGAGTATAGAAAATTTGTTTGGTAAAGAGTTTTGAAAATAGTTTTGGAAAAGAGGTTTGATTTGAGTGGGAAATTGTTGATGTGATATTTGATATGTGCCCTGCAAGGAGGGAATGAAGGAGGGGGCTCAAGGAGGGGATCTGGACTCCTCTGATACACCAAAAAAATAGCATATAAATATGCATCGAATTTTTTAGCTTGCGTTTGGTTGTATTTTGTAAATGTGATTTGAGAGTATGAGTTATATTTTGAGTTTGTGTGTTGTAGAATTATGATTTGAGTGTAGAAAATTTGTTTGGTAAAGAGTTTTGAAAATAGTTTTGGAAAAGAGGTTTGATTTGAGTGTGAAATTGTTGATGTGATATTTGATATGTGATACAAAAATTTACAACTCATAACTAAACATACAATTCAAAATTATTTTAAAGCATATAAAAAATTTAAAAATTTTCAGAAAATATTTGTCCCGATTATGTAAATCAATTGCAAAAAAAAAAATAAAATTCACTGTTTCGGACAGCCGGCCGGTCAACCGGCCGGACGTCCCGTTCCCTCAAACGCCCCCTCTGCAACGAACATAATGCTTTGACATATAGACAAAGCTTCCGACAGAGTTTTGGAAACATCATGCTCAAACTCAAGTGTTGAAAACTATTTTCAAAGCACAAACAAACAGAACTTTAGTTTTTTGTTTTTTTGCTTTTTTCAAAACAATTGAGACATATAAAATATAAATAAAAAATAAAAATCTAGAGTTGTGTTTGTCGCCTTTGAAATGGAGGTCTCCAGAGTTTTTTAATAGTTCAGTTTGACTTCGACGTGGTCATGGGGGATTGTGAATTTTCCCCGCACGCAACGTTTGAAATTTCAATTTTTACAACTTTTATTTTGAAAGACATCCAAGTATACACATTTATTTTTGTAAGAGAATTGTTAAAAATAATTATAACATTATAGTTAATATTTAAAAAAATTATATATAAAATATATTTAAAAAATAATTTCAAAGGGTTACTTTAATAGGCACATTTGGAAGTCTAAGAAGAATATTTTTTTTTTTAGATCTCAGGTTCAACACTCATTAATGTAACAAGTTTTTTAATTAGTTCAAATAGAGAGTGAAATTAGTCTTCTGAGATTAGAGAGGTGTGTGTGAGCTTGCCTAGATATTCGATCATTAAAAAATATATGTATATAAAAATTATAAATATTTTGATATTAATACCGGTGAGATTTATAAAAATATGAAACAAATGGGTATGATGTTATATAAAAATCATCATCGTTCATAACTAATTTTGAAAATTTATGTCAATTACATTGCTTACTCAAACAAAATAATAATAATAATGCCTAGAAATTACAAGACAAAAATGATTTTAATAAATTAAAAATACAATAATTATTGAGGAAGTGGGAAAGACATTTTAGTTTCATTTTCTAATTATTAAGTTTAATTTAGAATAAATTATACCAAATAAATTCTTTTTTTTTTCACAAAAAGAATACTTTTTCATCACACTGATGTCACTTTGAATGAAAAATGTTATTTACGTAGAATATTTATTTTAATAGTGCTGTAAAAATGAAACGTAAGATATATATATATAGTCAGAGTTAGTGTCTTAATTATTATTATTAGTTTTTGAGATCGAAAGGAAAGTTTGAAACAGACAAACAGGGATTATAAAAAATTAGTATGACGTTGAATATGGAGAATAGCCATCAATTGATCCAAATGTTTGGCGACTTGGTCCGAGCCCTGATGGCAGCCCGGATGGACTAACCAAAGCGATGGGGCGGACTGTGACTGAACTTGGTCTTGAGGCCTTGGCCCATTGACCCAACCCAACCCATTAGTAGGGCCTGCCTTTGCCCCTTAATTTTTTTTGTGAGCTCTGCAATTGGATTGAATTTGTTATTCCATCAGTTTTTACAGTTATTTTTTTTAATGGTCAGTTTTTACAGTCTAGTAATGCCTATTTGGTAGGGTTTATTTTTAGTTTAATTTAAACTATTTTGATATGTTTGGTTTAGCTTAACAATATAGCTTATAGTTTTTTGTAAGTCAAAAATTAACTTATTCTTTGAGTGAGAAAGAAGAAACTTAATTTATAAGTCAAAAATCAGCTTATATTCACAGCTATAAAGCTGTTAGGTTATAAGTTATAATCACTTTCTCACAGCTCTACCAAACGGGGTCAATATCAATCTAACAATCGTAGTAATAGTAAAAAAAAAAAAAGAAGAGAAAGAAAAAAAGTATTTTGCTAGAGTTCTAAGTGGATGCAAGTGAAAATTGTAAAGAATTTGATTGAGCAATTAAAATCTTGTTTGACATAACCTATTTTAGTTCATCTTTTTATCTTTTTTTGTCACATCAATCAACATTTTTTCTCTATTTTCTACACATCTTTTTATAAAAATTAAAAAAATACACTTATTTCAGACATTTCAAATCACGACTGAGACTTACGGATAAGATCAGTCAAGTTACGACTCCAATAGTCTATTATCAATATAGAAACAAATGAAAGCTTTTGCATAGTAAACAACTTCATTTTTTTTTAAAAAATGAAAATTACAATTATTTTGAATAGTTTTCATTAAAACACAATTTTTCTTTGAAATCCAACATTAAATATTTAACAATAAGTAAGAAATTTGTGAGTTATTACAACTTTAGCGGCCGTTCGCCATGCATTTTTTTAGTTGATTTTTTGATTTTTTAGTTATTTTAATTTATTTTGACAATTCAATTAAAAGCTAATTTTTTAGTTTTTTGATTTTTTTAGGTCACATTATCTCTTTATTTTTTTATACGTTTTTTCAAGAAAATTTAAAAAGTTGACTTTTAACTACTTCATAAATATAGGCCTTGGCTTCGGTTAAAAAGTTCATTTTTTTATTTTTTTTTATTTTTATAAAAGAAAAAATGAAATGATTAAGTTGTTTGGGATGATCTTAATAAGTGTACTTTTCAACTTTTTACGAAAAAATGTACAGAAAAGTAGAGAGATAATTCATATAGGGGTGTTTTAAAAAGATGGTTAAAAGTTAACTTTTTGAATTTTTTTTAACTTTTTGACTTTTTTTGTGAGAGAAAAAAGTGAGTTAAAAGATGAAAATTGACTTTTAATCAATTTTTCAAAATAGGTCATAGTTTAACTCAAACAAACTAGTACCAGTCAATTTTTAATAAAATATTTTAAATTTTAGTAACACAAATTATGATTATCCAACTAAATTTAATTTGAAGCATTAAATTAAATTATCAAGCAAATTATTAAAGAAAAAAATGCTAATGAGAGTGCATTAACATTGATAAATGTATTAAAAAATATATTTGGGATTTGTAATATAATTTTGTGGGTATTTTTCTTCCTACCCAAAAATTGCAAAAAATAAAAAACAATTTGAAAAAGCAACTTTCAGTTACGCGCCCATGTAAAATAAAAAAATCAAAAACAAAACAAAACCACCATCAACAGTCCCCACTTTCCCTTCTCCCATTTTCTCTCTCATCATCATCACCATCTCTCTCTCTCTCTCTCTCTCTCTCTCTCTCTAGCCGTCTTCTTCGCCATGGAAGACGACCATGGAGTCTTAGATCTAGTCAAAGAACTAGTCCACCGATTACTCTCCACTCACCCAGATTCCCAATCCTCCTCAACCCCAACCCCAACCTCAATCAATCAAAAACAAAACAAAACCCTCAACAGTCCCCACTTTCCCTTCTCCCATTTTCTCTCTCATCATCATCACCATCTCTCTCTCTCTCTCTCTCTAGCCGTCTTCTTCGCCATGGAAGACGACCATGGAGTCTTAGATCTAGTCAAAGAACTAGTCCACCGATTACTCTCCACTCACCCAGATTCCCAATCCTCCTCAACCCCAACCCCAACCTCAATCTCAAACCCTAGTAGTACCATTAACACTACGAATTCGATCCAACAACAACAAGCTCTCAAGTACGCTATTCGCATTCTCTCCAGCCGAATGACGCCCTCGATCACGGCCGACGAGTCCTCCATGGCCGAGTCCATCAAGCGCCACCTCGCCACTCAAGGTAAACCCTCCGATGCCCTAACTTTCGCCGATCTTCATTCCAAATTCGCTTCCAAAACCGGCCCAGGATGCATTAAAAGCAAGTGGGCTGTGCTTTATTTGCTCAAAGTCATCTCCGAGGATCGAACACATCACTATGGACTTCATAGTCGGTCGATCTGATTCTAGGGTTTCTACTGGATTTTTTGCTTCCACAGTGTCCGGTGGACTTCCGGCATTGTTTGATGCTGAAACTAATGATTATTCTAGGGTTGTTAATGATAATTCTAGGGTTTTGCATAACCAGGGAAAGGTAGAAAAGGGTTGGAATGGTGGGGTCTTGATGGTTTCTAAAGACCCGGAAAATATTCGTGATATGGCATATAGGGAGTTTGCCAATTTGTTGAGGGAAGAGAATGAGGTGTCTGAAGAGGTTTTGGTTAGGGATGTGTTATATGCTTGTCAAGGTATTGATGGTAAATTTGTGAAATTTGATAAAATTTTTGATGGGTATGTGTTACCGGAAACTGTTCAAGTACCAAGAGCTACTAGGATTATGGTTCGGAAGCTTTGTGAGCTTGGGTGGTTGTTTAGGAAGGTTAAAGGGTATATTTCAGATAGTATGGATCGCTTTGGAGCTGAAGATGTTGGGACTGTAGGGCAAGCCTTTTGTGCTGCACTTCAAGACGAGCTTTCTGAGTACTATAAGTTGTTAGCTGTGCTTGAATCACAGTCAATGAATCCCATCCCTTTGGTTTCAGAAACTGCAAGCTCAGGGAACTATCTTTCTCTGAGGAGACTGTCGGTTTGGTTTGCTGAACCAATGGTGAAAATGAGGCTCATGGCTCTTCTTGTTGATAGTTGTAAGGTGTTAAGGGGTGGGGCAATGGCTGGGGTAATTCATATGCATGCCCAACACGGTGATCCACTTGTGCATGACTTCATGAGGCGATTGCTTCGTCGGGTTTGCTCTCCTCTTTTTGAGATGGTGAGAAGTTGGGTTCTAGAAGGGGAGCTTGAAGATGTTTTTGCTGAATTTTTTGTGTTGGGTCAACCAGTGAAAGCCGAGTCTCTTTGGAGGGAAGGTTACAGTCTTCATGCTGGAATGCTTCCTTCTTTCATATCACAGTCTCTTGCTCAGCGCATTTTGAGGACTGGGAAGTCCATAAATTTCCTTAGAGTTTGCTGTGAGGATCGTGGTTGGGCTGATGCTGCAACAGAAGCTGCTGCAGCCGCTGGTACCACAACTACAAGAGGGGGTCTTGGATATGGTGAAACTGATGCACTCGAATCTCTGGTCACTGAAGCAGCAAAGAGAATAGACAAGCATTTGATGGATGTTATGTACAAGAGATATAAATTCAAAGAACATTGTCTTGCAATTAAGCGATATTTACTACTTGGGCAAGGTGATTTTGTTCAGTATTTAATGGATAATGTTGGGCCAGAATTATCAGAGCCTGCTAATACTATCAGCTCATTCCAGCTTGCTGGGTTGTTGGAAAGTGCAATTCGGTCATCTAATGCACAATATGATGATCCTGACATATTGGATAGGTTAAGGGTCAAGATGATGCCACATAATACTGGAGATAGGGGTTGGGATGTTTTCTCTTTGGAATATGATGCAAGAGTTCCACTAAATACCGTGTTTACAGAGTCTGTTATGTCAAGATATTTAAGAATATTCAATTTTTTGTGGAAACTTAGGCGGGTGGAACATGCACTTATTGGGGCTTGGAAGACAATGAAACCAAATTCAATTACTTCACATTTTTTCAGTAAGCTGCAACATGCAGTTAAGATGCAGTTACTTTTGACATCAAGGCGATGCCAAGTTCTTTGGGATGACATGAACCATTTTGTTACAAATTTGCAGTATTACATCATGTTTGAAGTCTTGGAGGTGTCATGGTCTAATTTTTCGAATGAAATGGAAGTTGCTAAAGATCTTGATGATCTACTTGCGGCCCATGAGAAGTATCTACACTCAATTGTTGAGAAGTCTCTTCTTGGAGAGCGATCTCAAACCCTTTATAAGTCCCTCTTTCTTTTGTTTGACCTTATCTTGCGATTTCGAAGCCATGCAGATCGGTTATATGAAGGAATTCATGAGTTGCAAGCAAAGTATGGATCTTTCTTTGTCACCATTGTTTAGCCTTTAGATTTATTGGTAAAGTATTTGTTTGATTGGCTTACCTGAATGTCATTTATATGCAGAACTGTGGAACCCTCTCGAGACAAGAGCAGAACACGGTTGCATTCAAATGACAAAACATCGAAGCCTGGCTCATGGATTAGTGAAGGCCGTAAGGCCCTAATGCATCGTGCTATTGAATTTCTTCAAAATATGGAACAAGACCTAGATGCAATTAGCAAGGAGTATTCATCATTGCTCGAGGGGTTCATTTCTCAGTTGCCTATGCAGCAACATATTGATTTGAAGTTTCTGCTTTTCCGGCTTGACTTCACTGAATTTTATAGCCGGATGCACCCTAACACGTAAAGAAAGCTGTCAGTACAGTGTTTTAGTTCAGGGAAATGTTTTAACAGTCCAAACTGTTACAGATTGTCATTTGTTTCACCAATTGCTAATGGGTAGATGGCCAAAATCATGCAGTGGCCAGCTGACTTCAGGACCTAGCACTTGCAGTTACTATGCTGTTTTTAGGTATTGTGGTTTTTCTTCCGTAATCTTTTATCATTCTTACATGTATTTGTTTCAATAATTATTCAATATCTTGTTCTTGTTTTTTTCTCTCTTTTTGCCCTTAGTTTGACGCTATTGTCTTTCTTACTCTTCAGATGGTGTTTGTTCTGGATGGTGTGTGGAAGATTTCAAGGAGTTGGAGTTATACTGCTGTGACTAGATCAGTGTGTCTAGATCAGTGTGTCAATAAGCTGTGCACGTGCATTGTATTGTTTTTGATGGTCCAATGACATATGATGTGTTCTTCCGGCTTTTGCAAGCTGTTCATGTTGAGTTTGTGTATTTCTGTACCATAGTTCTGTATTGGTTTAATGGTAAGCTATGTGTGCTGATTGTTTTTTTTTTTTTTTTTTTTTTTTTTTTTTTTTTTTTTCTTATTTTTTTTTGCATCTACACTCCACATTTCTGTGCCTTTAAATTTTGTTGTATTGGATTATAGAAATTGTTTTCAAAATGATGTATAGGTTATGGCCTAGTTTGGGAAGACTAAATAAGTGTACTTTTTGACTTTTTTTGTATTATGTGTAGAAAAAGTAGAGAGGAGATGTTGATTGATGTGACCCAAAAAAGATAAAAAGATGAAATAAGTGCACTTTTTTGGCAGTAGCCAAACTTGGCCATAGTGTGTTTAAGGCTATGCCTTTGTTGAAGTAGAATTTTTGTTAGGTGGTTGTGGAGTTTTGGGAATTTTAAATCAGTTATGAGCTTTTTGATTTGAAATGAATGGACACATCTGCTATGTTATTCTGTATGGATTTTTTGAACAAATTCTGTTAATATACCATCATCACTTCCCATATCATACAATCATACCCAAATCAAAATAATTATTTCAACCCAGGTACAACACAATATGTACAACAAAGCTCATGCTTACTCGTAAATGAGTTCATCTCAATTCATGTTTTAATTCAATCAAAGATGATATGCTAGACAAGCCTCAACAACCACCCCATTTCTTTTCTTTTCTTTTTTAGCAATTCAGAAGAGCCAAACACACAGCACATTAGCAAACAGACAGCACAACCGTTTAAAATGAATAAATTATTAGATTCAGCAAATTAAAGGATCCCCTAAACAATTAACTATTGGCAATTAGTCTTTAGCTTCAATGCAAGGCTAAATAGCTCTAATGAACAACCCTGAAAGAAAGAATGTCTACTTTCTCTAGATTTAACCCTGGAGCACTCCTGAAGTACGACAAACATAGGATAGGCAGGAATGAAGAAACTTCTCAAGCTTCGCATTGATTATCTAGAATTTTGTGGAAGGGATTTTTAAACGTGTCATAAAAATACAAAGCACCCATGAGAGTAATAGTCATCATGTACAATCCAAAACTCGAGCAATGCGGCAATATGAGACAAAAATGGGAGTCCATAAATTTTGTTTCCCCATTTTTGGATTCTTTCTCTAAATTACTAGTACAAATTTCACAAATTATAAATTCCTTTGCTATTTTACCCTCTCTTTTTTTATTCTCCTCCCTTTTCCTTCCTCGCCCTGATCCCCCAAGTAAGGTTCCTCACTACCTACAATTGAAGATTCGGGTGGCCTGAGGGTGTTTTTGGGAGCACTTATCCAAGGGGTATCTGCAATGGCAAATCTCCATAAAGCACTGACATGTTCAGGCGAAGCATACTCAATGCCTACACGAGGACCAATTAGCATCTTTTCTGGCTTCGGCCCATCTAAGAGTTCTAAACCACCTGGGGCATATACCCATTGAGTTGTGTCAGTATTAAATAAAGTTTGTGTAAATTGAGGAAGAACAGCATGAAAGAAAGCTTACCAGGAGTGAAAAGAGGATGGTTAGACCATTCCGTTGAAAGCCCGAGTGCTTGACCAACCTAGAAAAGTAGAAATCTTAAGCAATTTAAAGGAACCTAACTGTGCATAAAAATAAAAATAAAAATATAGTTTCTTTTGTTTCTCCTTGGGATATAATCATTATTTTGTGGACGGTTTTCTAGAATAGGTTAATTGATCTTCCTTTACCTTTTTTCAGTTTAGTTAGCAGAGACTTACGGTTAACAGCAACTCTAACAGGCTCTTTTATATTGTACTTATTAGGCATTTTAGCCAATCAAACTACAAATTCAATTCTCCAACAGGCTACGTAACACACTAGGCATTATGCCTGTCTGCAAAGGGCTAGCAACGATTGGACAGCTCCAGGAGATTAAGCAAACACATTCTCTGTCCTCTAGCAAGGTAAATTCCTCCATTTACCATTTGCACAAATGCTACATCAGCAACCATATTAACACTAGGTGCACACTAAGCATGCCATGAAAAAAAAGTTGCACTTTTTATTTTGTGTATAGCATTTTTCTTTTAAAAATTGGTTGGAGTTCCTTTTCTTCATATAGCATCAACTATAAATAGTTTTTTTAAAGTACACACCGACTAAAATGATTAGGTAAAATAAAGAATGTACTTTTTTGTGTACTTCTACTAGGAAAGATGATTCACTTTGTTGGAGTTGCCAACATTAGAAAATGTACTTAACCAAGTTTGGAAGATCTTCTTATCAGTTTTTTTTAAACCAGTTGGTAAAGTATGTCATGAAAGCTATGGACAAAATGTGATGGATTTTCCAATAAGTCCCTCATGCTCAATCCCATCTTACAATGCCAATTTAGCAAATTTTGCGTTAACCCATCTTACTTGACCAGACACAAGTTTGTGAATTCCATTTACAAATATGGAGGAAAAAGATCAAATAATTTCCTTTCCAGAATGTAACATGTACTGAAAAATTAACAATTGTGCACTGATGACTCAAACAGCATGTTTGACATATTTTACAAACATAACAGCATTAATAAGAAAGAGGGAAAAGAACTAAAACTAACCTTTCCAGGCCCAGAGAGAAGAACAGGCTTCTCAGTTTTCACACCACGACGCTGCTGAATAGTCTCCAACCCTGTCATTTGTTCATAGTAATTCAGATCATGCATTTAAATGGAGCAAGCTCCTCCCAGCGAAAATGTACACAATGTGGGCCCTTGTATAAGTTTTCTGGGATAGTGAGCTAACGAAATCCGTCTCTTTTTCTTTCATTCTCTTTCCTCTTTTCTTTAATTTTCCTTTCCTCCCTTCAAGTGGGAAGTTCTTATGTTCCAGATCATGCCAAATTGTGGTTAACATGGGTGTTAGGCCAAAAGCTTGAGCAACTTTCTATGTCAAGTAATACTTAGTACTAGTCTAATGGTGGTCAATATGGGTGTAGTCTGCTCTTTGAGATTATAATCCTTTTTATTTTCTGCCAAGTCTTTTCACTTATCAAAAGAAATAGTAAATTAAGAACAAAGATCAAAAGCAATATATGGCAAGCCAAGTGAGGGCAGCAATTGAAACTACCAGCAATAAAGAAAACAAAAATTACATGATTTTGCACGAGTAGCCATGGAAAATTACCACTGACAGGAGCACAGGAACGAATCAAGACAGCCGCACCAACTCCTTCCTTGTCTGCCACAACATTGAGCATGTTATGAAGACCATAGCAAAGGTAAACATATGCGTGGCCACCAGGTCCAAACTATTTCCAGAACAACCAATTACAAACATAAGAAAACAATTGTTACATGCCTCAAAAAATGTGTTTAGAGTTCAACTTCACAACAATCTAAGAATGTAACGAATAACATAAAGTCTAAAGATAAGCTCAGCATTGTTGTCCCCAAAACTTTTGTATTTCCAAAAACATTGTGTCAGTTATGTTTTCCATTTGTTTTGTTTGTGTTGGTGGTTTGTATAGTTGTGGTAGGGCTTGGGGCATCCCCCTTGTAAATTTGCAATTTTTCTGTTTTATTTTATGTCTTATTCACCCAAAAAAAAAAAAAAAAAAAAAAAAAAAAAAAAAAAAAGAGTATGATAGAGAAGAATTTAATCTAAGTTCATCATACTAGAGCCCAGAGAATATTATGACACTCATATTGAGAACCATAACTCTAGGATTCAAGCAATTAGGGACCCATTAGATATACCAATATCACAAACAATTTTCAAGCTAATTATTATGGCAAAAGAGCCACTTTTTATTCGTATAATAGAATTACTGAGATTGTTGCACAAACATGGCATATTTTAGTATCTTACAACAGGGGCAGTTCTTGCCGTGACACCAAATCGACCGTGACAAGCTGAATCATTTGGTCTATAAGCTTCGACCTGTCAAGAATTCCAAAACCCACTTGACATTAAGCATATTGTTCAGAACAACTAATACAAATGTAGCTTGATTACAATAAGAATCTTCTCATTGGGGAATTTCGTCGAACACCTCTTTAGTTACCTCAGTAATCTGAAGAACAACATCATCTCTCCTAAGGTACTTGCCTAGAAGAAGTGGCGCGAGATCGAGCGCGTCGATTTGACAGAAATCGGGAGCCAAGATTGTTGATTTCTCGAAAGATAGATGATGGGTTATTGAGATTGAATCGAACTGGGATTGAGCTTTGACTTTGGGTTTGAGCTTTGATTTTTCGTGATCGTCATTGAACGCAAAACTTTCGATCGTCTTGTTGGGTTTGAGGACTCGTTTGAACCGTTGAGTTCTCTTCATTTCACTCATTGACATCAAACAAAGAAAAAAGGAGAAGGTTGTGATCTAAAACATATATATATATATACATGACTCGGGGATTTATCAGGGTCTCATTTTGATAATTCGAACTTTTTAAAGTGTAAAACTCAACGAGTATTATATTTTAAGTTAATTAGATATCGATAGCTATATAATTAAATTAGTTTTCTGTTAACTGTTTATTTTTATACAAAACTGATTTGATCACGCAGATATCGATATTCGATCAAAGTGATTTTTTACAGACATAGTACTCGATGAGTTCTACACATAAAACGATTCAAATTATCAAAACAAAACTCATAATGAGCCTCCAAAGACCCAACAATACTCTTCAATCTGGAGAGAAGCTCAACCCCACATACATACATAAATGCTGATGTTTGACTTGGTTGGGCCGTCTTGGCGCATGTTCCTTGTTTATAGACAGTACATATAGCATTGCAATGCCAAAAACAAATTGAGATTTTTATTGATAAATCTCATTTAGGGATGTTCTAACTCAATAAGTTCAGAAAGGAAATTTATAACTTAATTAGTCCTATATGTTTGTATTTTTATTTTATGAAGTCCTTCTTTCTTAATTTTATATTTTTTTTGAGACTATTATACTCTTATATATTATGTTGATATATAATACACATAAAAAAGGAAATACATGTTTTTGTTTTGTTTGTCAGCATTATTCACGTTGATGATTCTGATTCAGTTAATTAATGTCGATCGTTTATGGTAGGGTTTCATTGTGGTAGGTTTTCAGTGTAGTGGAGAAAAGACGACAACGGGTTTCTGTGCCGTGAAAGAGAAGACGAAGATGACAGGTTTCTGTCTATAGGTGTGTTCGTTTTCGTAGTTTAGTGTTTGTGTGTGCTTTGGTTTGTTACGTAATCGTTATAGATCAATCGTTGATCGGAGGTAGAGAACGATTACAGATTTTTTTTTTCAATGTTAATATCATTTTGTTTATAAATGCATGTTCATTTATGTAAAGGATTGCATGCTTCGTTTTTTATTCATGCGTATATTCTTGGATACATGGGTAATGCAAGTGTATGTTTGATGAATGGGATTTTGATTTTTTACTAGTAATGCATATATATTTTTGTTATTTGAGTTTCAGATATTTGACAGAGATGCATATACAGTTGTTTGAACAAATTAATTGTGGTGGATCATTGGTGAAAGGTTGTTTTTGTTGATTGGTTTATTTTTTCTTCTTGTTTTGTGATTGTTTTCATACTATTTTTGTTGTATTTGGTGTGTCATCTTTATTTGGTTAAATAATTCAGATGATGTGAACAATGTAAATATTTACATATCATTGGATATAATGTGGTTGCTCACTTCCTTATTTTTGTATTTTTACAGTAGATAGATACCTTTATGTTGTTAGTGTGCTCATATGGGTGTAGTATTACTATAATAAACGTGGTGCGAAAGCTATCTTATTAACGTTTGGTGGAGTGTGTGTGTGTGAAAAATGGAGCGAGTTATTTATTGATTGTGTTTCATTGTTCTATCAGCTACCTAAGATTAATAGGTGTAATTTGGATAATGGTGATGAACTTCAAAGTTTGTTCTTGCTTGCCAAATCAATGGGGGTTCAACATGTAGAGGTTGTTATTGAATTCAAAAGTGAAGTTGGTCAGTCTAGTAGCTCTAGGTCACTGTGTGTGGGGAGATGAGGATGTAAGTGATGGTTTTTTTATTTTTAGAGAGATTGAGATTTGTTAAATTTATAGTTCTATTGCTACAATTGTTTTTGATTTTTTATTAACCTCAGCACATCATTAATCAGTGTTAATATGCACGTTATCTGTAATGGAAATTTGTCATTTGTTTTATTAATCAGTGTGAATATTCATGCATCCATATAATATTGAATAGTGTATATATTTTCACTGTGTTCATTCCACTATGCAAAATGTTAAAGTTCACATCAGACCATTATATTCAATCATATAATCACAAGCCACAATGTTTATTTGGATACAAAAATGATGTGAATATTCACTTTCTTGTTTTGTTTCATCTCTGTTTGGTTAGATAATTCATATTATGTGAACAATGTAAATGTTCATATATCATTGGCTATAATATGGTTATTCAGTTTCTTATTTTTGTATTTTTGCAGCAGATGGATCCATTCATGTTGTTGGTGTGCTTATATGGGTGTAGTACTACTGTAATAAATGTGGTGCGAGCGTTATCTTATTCACGTTTCGTGGAGCGTGTATGTGAAAAATGAAGCGAGTTATCTGATTGTGTTTCATTGTTCTATCGGCTACCTGGGATTAATAGGTGTAATTTGAACAATGATGATGAGCTTCAAAGTATGTTCTTACTTGCCAAATCAATAGGGGTTCAACATGCAGAGGTTGTTGTTGGATTGGTGTAATGTTGGAATTGCATGGATAGTGATAATGATGAAGATGAGAATATGGGTGATGGTTTTTTTTAATTTTTAGAGAGTTTGAGATTTTATGGGTCTTTTGTTTTTGGATTTCTCGGTTTTTGTCCTAGAAAATATGTATTGTCAAATTGTCAATTAATGTTAATATTTGCACTTTCATATAATATTGAATGGTATATATGTTTTTATTGTGTTCATTACTATTATGCAATATTGATGATGTGAATATTCAAGGATCATTTTGTTTTTTTAGACACCCTAAATATTTAATTAATACCACAACTAATCATGATAATAATAATAATAATAATACTAATAATACTAATAATAATAGTGGGTGTGATAGTGAAATAAATAAATAATTTTCTGTTGGTATGCGATAAAGTGTAATTTAATTAGGGATTAGTTGGTTTATATAATTATGTTAAAGAACTGGGCCAAAGTATAATTACCACAAATATTTATTAGATAAGCATCAATCTATGAGATTTATGATCAAATCTATGGGGATTTAAGCTATGGCCATGTGTTGGCCTGAGGGCGCATTTGCCTCCCTATAAATAGGGAGGAGTTGTGCAAGAGAAGTGCGAAACATAAGAGGAAGAAAAAAAAAAAGCACGTAAGATACTAGAGGTAGGAAACTTATAGTAAGAAGGGTTGTGATAGTGGAAAGTAAAGGCTAAGGGTCAATATTAAGGTGAGTTATATTATACCTTGAGTCATCATAATATATTTTACATATGTTTTGATTTACCATAATTTATTTTATACAAGTTATGTTTTATAAATTATATTAATATTTCAATTACGTGGGTTATTTTCTGAACTCTACTTGTTTAAAATGAAACTCATGGATATATTTGTTTAAGTTTTAAAAAGTATTTGACAATGACTTTATAAACAATTATATTTTGTAAATACCACCACGGGAGTCCCACGTCTTGGGGGACTTAAATAACCATTGGCCTATGTTTGGCCACTTTGTGGTCCTTTGTTTGTCATGGATCCATTGACCTCTGTTCTATTATGTTTTGTACCGTGGTGTAGACATCCCATTTTTGACTGTCCTCAAGACTTGGACGTCACCGCTCGAACATTTGGTGATTACTTATGTTTGTGTTTCGTTTTGAGTTCCCGGAGGTCTCGCCTACGCGCCTTGCCTCAGGATCTCTCAACTCGACTGTTCTGTGTTTGGTTTTGTACCAAACACTTGTGTTTTTGCTTCTGAGGGTAGAAAGTAGCTTGTTAGCTACCCGTGACACCCACCAGCCTTGGTTTGAGGCCACCGGCTATGTTTTGAGGCTACCGGCCATTGGTGAATTATACCATTGGCCGGTCGGCATTCAGTATGGCCGGCTGGCCATCTGTTTGGCCGGTAACCTCCTTTTCTGGCCGGTAACACCTTTTTACCTTCTTCAGGCATGGTGCATGCTAGCTGTGCCAGCTGGAATGCACCAAATCTACCCCGGGGCATACATGTGGCTGTTTTGCCCTTTTTGCCCCCTTTTGGTCAAAGCTTCTTGAGGAAGCTTGACCCTTTGGCAAAGCTTCCTCAAGAAGCTTGCCAACTATCCTAGCTTCTTCAGGAAGCCTTGCCCCCTTTGGCTCTTTTTTGTTTAGCTTCTTTGAGAAGCTTCAAAGCTTTTCCTTGTCTATATAAGAGCCTCTCCTCCTCCTTTGTTAGGGTTGAGCAAAAAAACCAGAGCTATACACATATATATCTGATATATATCATCCTCTCTCTCTATATCTCCCTCTCTCTCTTCATTTTGTGTGGTTTAAGGGCCTAAAGTGTGTGTTTGTTCTTAGTTTTGCACACAAACACACACTACTACACCATACTTCGAATTTGAGAGGCTTTGGGGGTTTGTTCTTGAGGTTTTGGACTGGTTTTGATCAAAAGAAGGAGGCTGCACTTGCTGTTCATCAAGGGTTCTTCAAGGGTAACTCTTTTACTTTAGATTTTCCAATCTTGCACTAGACTTTTTCCTATCTTGCTCATTGTTTTAGACTTTGTGTATAACTGAAAAAAGGCTTGTATTTGCATACTAAAGATATCTCATTAAGGTTGTTTTGGCATTGGGGGTCGACCTCCCCCTCTTAGGCCTTGTTTGGCTCCTTTTTGAGCTTCCTTTATTAAGTTTTGATTTCTTTGGTGTATTAGCCTTCTCACCATTGAAATCCAGTGGATTTTCAGTGGTGAAGAAGGGGGTTTGAGGTCTTGCATAGGAGAGGGACACTCCTCTCTCTTGGTCTCTCATTTTGTTCATGTTTTGGCTCATAAGGGTAGCATGTATGCTTGGTTGTATTTGGCCCTATTTCAGAGGTTTTTGGGTGTTATTTGGGCATATCTTACCTCTGTTTTTGGTCAGATTTGTGGTCCCTTACATGCATAATATACTTGCTTTGTATTCCCCCATTTTGTCTAGAAGTGCATCATGCATTTAGCCTATCATGCTCTTATGTTTTGGCCTAACTTTGTGAAGTTCTTAGCCATGTCTTACCATGCTTAAGGTCTGTTGGGTGTTGTTTTGATCGTATTTGCCATGTTTGGTATAGCCCTTTTGTATTTTGGCTTGTGAGCCTTGAGTGTGTGAGTCACTAGCATGCTTT